CACATTTTTTGGGTGTTACTTTCAGGGGGTCGCTACTTTCGGAAATTGCTAGCTGCCACCATCTTTTGACGTTACTTTCAGGGTCGCTACTTTCAGGGGGTCGTTACTTTCAGAAGTTTAGGGTAATTGACTTCCTTACTTTGAAACTATTGTTTAATACACAGGGGACCTGAACACTACATCAGAAGTAAAAATAAATGTACTGTTATTTAGCTGTATTCCTGTGTTCTTTTAGTCATTTAGAAGGGATTTGAATGAAGCAAACATGGTTTACATTTTGAATATTATCTTGCCTGCTGCTTTGTAAATGTGATGCTCCAATTACGTCTCAAGTTTTTCTTATCATCGTTAACTCTCACCAGGGGAAAGATTCTCAGGTTTCATAACGGGTGCATTAGAAGAGAAAAGAGACAAGGGGTGAAACTTACAAAAAAGCTTTCGTCTAGTCTGTGACTACCATTGAGGTGACCAGCCTGCGTGGGTCCTCGTGTGGATATGTGCGAGTGAACACAAGACAATGGACGGCAGCCCAGCTTTGACTGCAATTTCTGCACTGAATTTCTGCAAATCTTTCAGCAACAGAACCGAGGAATTTCAACATTGTTCACTAGTGAGCCAACTTATATTTTTAATTTTTCTATTTCGTTTTTTGCTCAGTTGTTTTCCAACTTGTCCAGTTAAAAAAAATGAATTTTTTACACTCAACATAAACATATTTTAGCCAGGGAATCCCTATGTTTTCACAGCTCCTGGCTGGGGTTATCGAAAAGTAAGTCAGTGAACCAAATAGTGAAAATCTTTCCATTTCACTATTAAAACTTTTTGTTCAAAGATTTTTTCCTGGCTGGAGATTTATCTCACTCACATGAAGACCAGGAAGTCCGCAAGGTGTGTTCTGTTTTATATGTCTGACACACACGGCTGTCACAGGTAAACAAAAGAGTCTCTCAAGTGAAGAATTGGACCACTTTGACGAAGCACATGCTCAAAAATGTAAAAGTGCTTCTGGTCAAGTCAAGTGTAGTCACAGATCGGACGAAAAGCTGCACCTAAAAACAACTCAAAACTGCACTGTCTGAAAAAAAATGTGCCCAAACAAACAAATCCAAAGTTCTTCACCTGAATACTAATTGTTTAATCAGTGGAGATGTGAAATTCTAACCAATTATGTTCAGCAACAAGAGAATAAGGCACCAAAATAAAACTGGCCTCATTTTAGTTTCATCCCTTGTCTCTTTTCTCCTTTCTCTCCCACGATAAGAGTTAATAGTTGATGACAATAATGGAAACTTGAGACATAATCGCTCATTCAAAGAGTCATAAATTACAAAGCGGCAGACAAGATAATAATTATTTGAAATGTAAACCACCTTTGCTTTATTCAAATCCCTGCTAAATGGCTGAAAAAGACAAAGGAACACAGGTTAATAACAGCTGTAAATTTATTTTTACTGCTGATGTAGTGTTCAGGTCACACATGGCTCCAAGGCATAGGCACTTGAACAAAAGAAGTCACACTGGAATAAATATGTATTTTCTTTNCTCTGTACATCACTTACAGTCACTTTATACATTGTGGAGGTCCTTTTATCAGGGATATCGGGTTACGGGAAATTTAAGTGAAAAAATCAACGGGATACAGCCAATCGAGGCACAAGTGCATAATTTAAACGTCCATTAAAGGAATTGAGTTTCCAAGAAAAAAAAAGCAACACATTTAGCACTCTTGAACACTATGACACTTGACACGCTGCTGCCGTTTTTGCAATAGAGGATGCATCATTTTCTTCAGAGACAAAAATAACAAAGCCAATAATTACTCGGCCCGATAACTAGTTTGTGTGCTGTCGACTGTGCCAAAAGTAGCTAGAGGTAACAACTTCTGCAGTGAAATAATGTTTTTTTCAATGAAAGAGATGCCATTAACAGGTGGTCTGAAAGTGGGTTTGAATTGAGGCAGAATGGCCTTTGACTACATAACCTTGCATTGTACTACCTCTTTACACTTCAGCTCTGACTATGTAGAAAACTGCAAATGCATTTCAATTGTTGGCTAGACTGCTAACACCTTGGAAAGAAGGGGGGGTCACTCTGTCAACCCATGTGCAACAGTCAGAGATGCTTGTTGCCTTCCTTAGGGGTGTAAAACATGCACTTCAGTGTCATTTATATTTACGGTGTTCAGGTTGAAAAATCACTATTTTAGCCACCAAGATATTTTTTTAGGGTTGCACTTGAAGAAATAAATTATATACAAGTGCAGTCATGTCCACTTGAATGTAGACTCTTCAGGGTGTCAAATAAGGCATAGGTCTCATTTGGTCTCCTTTAGGGGCATAATTCAAATGTTTAGTTGAGCATTCTCAGACCTTTTCATATGGGAGTTGCCCCNGAAACATATTTTTAATGATATGCCAGTGATTGACAGTTAATTTCATACATGAGTTTTAAATGCTGGAGCAATTAAGTCAACATATTTGCATTTTGAGCATGTGGATTTTACCATTTTAATTATCATAACTACGATGTAATAAACATAAACCAAAAGGAACAAGTATTGAAGCCTGCAGTATTGTGAAATTTTACAAAATATGGGAATTTAGTTATGCCTGTGAGTACTTTCAAAAACTCAAGGGTTAGGGTTAGGGTTACATGTAGTTAGAGTTCGGTAAACACTGATGACAGAAGAATGCCCAAACATGATCCATTTACCCCAGATTCTAGATTTTACATGTAGCAAATGCTAAGTCATTGATCATTACAAGTACATGGACTATACATGTATGAAACCTGAAATAATTGGCCTTGAAATCGATGAAATCTCCCAACAAGGCAAGAACAAACAAAAACACTGGCTGTAGAAAACCATGAGATGCCTTTGACGAAATTCATGTTGTACATCATGTGCAGATTTGAAAATAAACAGGGTCATACCTGGTATTCATTTGAAAAGTCTCACACTAGGGTTTAATCATTCAGAGACTTTACAGAGAGTACAGTCATGTAAATGGAAAGAATGTTTCTTCCCTAACTTATAAATAAACAACTTCCAATCCTAACCATATGCAATCCTGTGTTTCCTTAGAGGTGTCTGGTTATTGATCATTGAAAGAAGGCCTTCATCTGCTTTCCTGAATAAAAAGAAAGTCCATAAATTAATAGTCTTAAGAATGTTGCTAGTCGGTGAGTCTGAGTTGGGACAAGTTTTGTATACCACCACAGCATATCCTCGCATTTCTGTAACATGAGCATCTACATGTAGGTCAAAGGAGTATGCCAGGTTCTACCCCTGGCTGGGGAAAATTATGGTGTTGTGTTGTTGGGCAAGACAATATTTTCAGTGCTTCCCTCCATGCAAGGGTTTTAATGGGTACCAGAAAATTTAATGGAAGGGGTAACCCTTGATGCATCCCATGCAAGTAGGTGTAGCAATATTTCTAGTTGCTTCATGTTACTAAAACTGGATAAGCACCCCTCTGATGGGCCACTTAGCCTGTATTATTTTTTTGAACTTTTTTACTTTAACAGCTCAAGTTATTACATGTACAGTACATAATTATGCAATTTTTATACATGTATATGGTAGTGATCACCATAACATTTCCCTGAAAAATAAATTTTACAAATATTTCCAAAATTAATACTAAATTAGTTAAGCACCCTTCTCAAGAAAATCCAAAATTGTTTCCATGACTACATGTATGTAAGTCAACTTCTAAAATGGTATCTTTACATTATAATCAACAACTACACCAAGTGAATGTTTCTCATTCATTCATATGCTATTTTCAGGAGTAGAAATGTTCTCCTTACCTCATCAATTTGTAGAAAGCCAGTCTAAAAAGTTCTTGAAAAATAACAGAGAATACAATACCAAATGCTAGATGCTTCTTAAGAGGTGAAACAACAGTCCACCAGATTGAGGACAACAGCAGCGACAATAACCAGAAAAATGCACTGCAAAATAAGGAGACATACAAAGCATTTCAATAGAGCCATTTTAATTGAGTGTCGTAAAACCAAAACCAAAGTTATCACTCTAGCCAATCACAAAGGATACAGACAATACAATGAACCAATCAGAAGTGGTTAAAATGGGAGTGAATGCATGGACCGTCTGTAGGGACATAAAAAAGTGGCTGCTGTAGAGAGGTGGCCATTGTGGAAAGGGGGCCGTTAAGCCCTGCCTAAATGGACTTGCAAGTACATGTAGACTCAAGTCGAAAACTTGAGTCTACTTATGACTTTGTGCCTTTGAGTGCACTTGCATTGACTTGTGATGACTTGCACTCACTTTGGTCGAGATCAAATTTGCATGCAAGTCGATGCAAGTTTTTCACCATTTGGCCACCCAACCCAAGTCAACACAAGTTGAGTGACGTCCATTAACCTATTATTAGCCAATGAAATATAGGATATGCATTGCCCTTCTTGAAATTTTTTTTGCGACTTGCGTGTACTAGCAAGGAATCTTGCGGGTCTGTTTGGCCACCCAATGCAAGTCTCTAGGCAAGTTCACCTTGCATCTACTTGCAAGTCTGTTTGGCCACCCAATGCAACTCTCTACACAAGTTTGACTTGCATCTACTGGTGAGTCTGTTTGGCCAGGGGTTAGTGGAGGTTGACTGTGGTTTAATATTCAAACACAAACCAGTGAAACAAGGGGGGCCAGATCATTTTCAGCAGTAGCTCCGAAACTCTGGACTGGCCTACCTGAAGAGCTTTGTCAAGCAACATCACTTGACAGTTTTAAATCTCGACTTAAGACTTATCTTTTTAAGAAGTATTTTCTAATTTGTGATTTTGTTTTATTTTTATCATGATTGTAAAGGGCTATTAATCAGAATATGTAAATATGCGCTATATAAATTGGTATATTATTATTATTATTATTATTATTATTATTATTATCATTATTGTTAACAAGAGCAACAGGTTAAATCTGTGTATACTTTTTGTTCCATCTGCTTTTGAGGGAGCATAAAAGATCGATGCTAATAACACGTTGAATAATAAATCTCTTATTAGACATTTTAGATTTCAATATCGCTGGCACATTTTTTCTTGTCAATGTCATTGATATTTTAGCCCTTGCTTACGGGCGCACCTAAAAGCTCACACATGTGGGTGCCAAATACGGCAAGACCCGCAAAAATATCCATGATATTTTCAAGAGATAGTGTAATTCTCTTTAAAAGAATCCCAGGTGTTCTAACCTTAAAACTCGAGACACAAAAACAGTGCAATGTACACGAAACTACTAGCGACCTTACCTGGCAATCAACACGATCACTTGCTGAGCATCTTTCGCGACAGTGAGGGAAAATAACGCGAGAGCTGGTCCAAACGCTATAAAAGCGCAGCCAAAGAAAACCATCAGGGTCATCTTGAACCAGTTCAAAGTGACCAAAATACGCTGTTTTCTCAAAGAAAAAATCTGAAACTGACAAGAACACACTATTGAACACTTGTTTCCGCCATATTGCTCGAACACTGACGTCATTTGACTTAGCTAATCAATACTTCTTCGCCGACCCGGAACCAGCCGAAGACACTCGGAGAGAGCCGTAATATAAAGAAAACAACGTACGGCGATCCTCCTGAATGTAAATAAAATGCCATGAACAGGAGCACAAAAGATCAGTTTTGCCGGTACGTAGACAGTTCTTCAGTATCTCTATGAAGCTTCGCAGGACAGATCATGGACTTTGAGGGGCACGAACACTGTGAGAACTGTATAAAGCTCCACTGTAATGCTCAAGATGGCTGCAAGATGTTATTTTGTGAGTTCGGATGCGAAGCGCAGCTACACAGCTGTAAAATGAAAGACCATAAGAATGTGTGCCAAAAATGTCGAATTCCTTGTGTTAACTCGGATTATGGATGCCCCGCTGTATTGACAAGAGATAGCTTGAGAAATCATTTGCAGCGATGCCCGGCAAGTGTGGTTTTTTGCACGATGGAGTGGAATCGCTATCCGGTTTATTCAAAATCGCGTTTGAGTTGGGTACCGTTTTTTCAACCGAATCCCATTTTAATAAAAGGGCATTTAGATGTTGAGTTGGCTTTCAGGGATCAGAGAATTCTTCGAGAAGTTTTTCGACGGCGGTGTAGGAAAGGGAAAGCCAAAGTAGATATGCTGAGAACCTCTTTGCAAGCGAACACGCCGAAACAGCATGGCAATGGATGTCAACCGCCGGCTGTGAAGTCGGAGTCAACAAAAATGGCGATGGCTTTAGCGTTGTCTTCCCTAGAAAATAAGCTTCGAAAACAATCCGATGACGGGGAATATTCTGGCGAAGAACTTGAAAGTGAAAATTTACTCGAGAGTGAAGATGATGGTGAACAGAGACCCCTTTGTAATTTGCTTCCGGTCACTGATAGACTTGACTTAAGCAAGAGCAATGATGTGGAAAATGGCGATTTTGACCCAGTGGGAATTGAACTTCACGAGTTGCAAATGGACAAAGATGAAAACATTAAAGATGACGCACAAAATGTGACACCTGTCAGTTCCCATGGCAACGTTATACCACCCCCTCCCACCCATCACCCAATCTACCTTGACCAGCCGCTTGGTCTCAATGTTGTGGTTGAAACCCTACCCAAGTTCCAAAAGCAGTTCCCCATGTATTCAATACCATGTAACCAGGTATTCCGCCGTGATGAGTACAGCAGCCACTTCAAGAATGTGCACAGCGACATTCAGGGAGGTCTCAATGGCTGGTTGGAGCATCGGTGTCCATTGGCGCAATATGGCTGTACGTTTGTCCGTTACAGGCTTCTTCCACATACTCAAAATGGCGCTGTAATTTTCAACCAAGAGCTTGGAAGCTTTGGTATTAAACCTTGTGAACATGCACCTGGAGTTGTTGCAACCTTTAAAGGTGAACATCCCTCAACAGATCCTCGAAGTGAGGGAAACATGCTTGCAAAATCTAATTTGGATCTCCTTACAACTTTGCCACTAGAGATCTTGGAAAAGATTGCCAGCCAGTTGGACGGCTTCAGTTTGTGTAACTTTTCTCGCACTTGTAAGTTACTGAGAGAGGTTTCTCGCAATGTGTNACCTTGTGAACATGCACCTGGAGTTGTTGCAACCTTTAAAGGTGAACATTCCTCAACAGATCCTCGAAGTGAGGGAAACATGCTTGCAAAATCTAATTTGGATCTCCTTACAACTTTGCCGCTAGAGATCTTGGAAAAGATTGCCAGCCAATTGGACGGCTTCAGTTTGTGTAACTTTTCTCGCACTTGTAAGTTACTGAGAGAGGTTTCTCGCAATGTGTTGGAAACAAAGGGGATGGTGGTATTTGAATGGGAAAAGAGGATCTACGACAATGGGAGCTGGTCTTGGAGAATCAGACAAAAGGTAGGTGCAGATGATACATGTATGATGAATGATTAATTACTGTCATTCATTTAGTGCTTCAGCTGTAACCTTTTATCAAAAAAGGACCATTTGTTTTGATGAGATGTTAAGAAATTTTATAACATGGCTACACAAGACAACCTGTAGAAACAAAGCCTTGTATTTTCAAGCCAGAACAATCAGCTTATTGGAATTGTTATCTTAGAGAAAATAGAAATCCATCTGTTGTTAGACCCTCCATTTTGCAACAGTTGGTCATGAGATGAACTTCTCAAGAACACACAGATCTAGTCATTAGTAGTGCATAATGTTATCAGAAATGGAAAAGAACAATATTATTACAAATTAGCTTTGCACATGTCTGCAAGTTGTCGGATTCATATCCTGTAAGAGGGAATTTTTATGGACGTTAAAAATTAGAGGGATTTGTTATGGGAAGAAGATGCTTTGCCCTCAATTCTTTAATTTTGCAAGTTTTCGAACTGACATACCGGTAAATCTCTGCCTTTCAGTTTAATTTTCAATTTTCTTCCTGATATTTTACTCCTCATTCTGTCTCCAATAGCTATATGCCAGCAGCTTTCTTTTGTAGTGATATTGACAATGGAGAAGGTTTCTGGGGGGCAAAGCTTCCTCGCTTCCATAGAAAACCMTCTAATTTTAGCAATATTCAAATRGTCACTAAATCTCAACCTAACATGACYTTGGCCTGAAAATTGATCAAATAATATTGTAGACTGTGAAATGGACAGAACTAAAAAAAACTGACTCATCCCAAAGGATTCCAAGATTTCAAGATGTGATTAAAAGTTTACAAAGCCTATAAGTTTCTGTTACAAGGAGGATTTGCCACCCCTACCTGTACATGTAACTCCCCCCTGGAAATTATAAGTTTTAAATGTTCAGCCATGCCATCCTCTGTCAGAACAGCCAACCACAGTGACTTACCCTGTATGTTAAATGTTAAAGGAGGCAGCATGGCTGAGTGGTTAGGGTGCCAGACTTGAAATCTGGAGGTTGCGGATTCAAGTCCTGCTCTGACCACTAAGCTGAAGTTGTTTCTCGGTAAACCCTAGTTCAAACAACTCCTTGGCCACGCTTGTAAATAGCCAACTAGTCTGCCTCCGGGTAGGTGAGATTTTTAACCATGTTATGTTCATTTACGTTATTTGTTTCATCATTTGGTTTCACTGGCCCTGAAAGGCCCCATAGGATGAGTGGTCAATTAAGATAGTTGTTTATTTACCGGTATTTATTTATTTAAATTGCTTGGTATTCCATTGCAGAGATGGTATTTTTCCACATCTTTTTCACCTGTTGAGAAGTGGGTTCATTCTGACTCACCATTCATGGCAGCTCACTTGGAAGAATGCAAATACTTTGATCACTGCGTGCCGTCAGCACAGTTCAGTTACTGTTTCATTGTGCAACCTGATGGTCCAGGGGGGAGCAGCAGCAGCAATGGTGGAAACAGCGAGATAGGCCTCGAGTATGACCCAGGGCATGAGGACAGCGAGGTCGATCAGATAGGGTTAGAATGCAAGATGAGTGGTGAAAACACAACGGACACAGAGACCGAAACATCAACATCAGACTCTGAGTCAGATTGAGCCGATGCAGAAGATCAGATTCAGTAACTGAATACATTTATTACGATAGCTACTTCTAACATTGTATGTGGCAGGTGGGAATCTGAGAGATCTTTTATTTCTGTCGTAGGAACTTGTTTTTACACAGCTTTGCTCTGGGAAACAGTGGCATCTAATCTGGCATTGCAGTACCAGGCATATGGAGTTACAGTTACTGCACACAGTGCTTGCAACCTCCCTCTTGTTTAGATTTTATTTGAGGAAATTATTTTCCATGCTACTCAATAAGTATGCTACAAGGGTACCGTCAATCTAATTGTTGTGTTTATGTGGTTCTTTGGGAGGATGTTGTCACAAATTTACAAATGGATATATTCAATTGTTACTGTTGTGGTTACAGAGCTACCACTGACAGGAAATCACTTCTAGGGATAAGTGGATTGGTAAAAATATTTTATGTGGCATATTATATGGTAATCTTCATTTTAAACAGATTAGTGTTCAAGATCAGTCTGCTGTTTTGTGCACAACAATAGTTCTGTAAATTTTTCTGCAGTTGAAAATTATGCCACATGCAAACTGACTATGTCAAAGTTGTGCAAAGGACTGCAGGTATATTATAATTATTAAAAAGAATAGAGCCATTGTGTTTAAATAAGGAAAAATATAAGACAAAATTTTATCTGAAGAAAAGTGAGAACTTAATTATTTTTACTGTTTCAGAATATATTTGATATTTATGAGATTTCACAAAGAGAACCAAGATTACATGTACATGTATTTGATTGGAAGATAGTCCAGAATAATTATATTTTACCTTTTTACATAAGCCTTTGTTCAGTTACAGGGGCATTTTTTATTGAGGTCCTATGGTCACATAACCTTCTAGAGACATGTTCTTTAGGCTTGTCGCACAAGAGCTTGTGTCCATGCAGAAGGTTAATGGCTACACAGATTGAGTCAGAAAAATGTTTGACTCAGCAAATAACAGAGAATAATAATATTGAAAATAATCTTTGGCAGGTAATGCATGTTACAAGAAGAAAATGTCTTTCTTGTCAATATTATTTGAAAAATGAAGTTAGTAGCAGTTGCTGTATAAGACAACACTGCTTGAAAAGAAAGCCAAATACATCGTAAAGTTGTGCAAATATTTACCATCTGACTGGTAAAAGTGCTTTTAACATGTCAAGTATCAATATACAACATGAGCTTAATTAGCCTGTTCCAGATTCTCAGTTTGTGGGGCCGAGTAAAAGGGGAAGGAAGTGAGAAGGAGGGGAATCTTTGGAAGAATGCAGCCTTTTTCACCCAAAACCCGTCGCCATATTTCCACTTCTCTTTGTGCCGGTTTTCCAACTATCCACCAAATATCTGGAACAGGTTAGAATTTGTTAAATATTGAAGAAGAGAATTTTCAGCTCCAGAAAATATCCATGCTCTCTCCTGTGCCCAGCCCTTAAAGGAACGTCATTGGAAATTCCAAGGGGATGGGGGAAGTCAAAAGCCAAAATTATATCATGAGGGTTAAAGGGGGCAGGGGGAGGGTTTCAAGCCAAAAGCCCACCCATAGGGAGAGTATGAAGGTTTTCTGGAAGAACACTGTCTAAATAATAATAATAATAATAATAATAATAATAATAATAAAATGATGTTTATTTACTAGCCTGTTTATTTATTCTTTAGACAGATGCTTGAACACATGTGTTGGGAATAATATCAACATCTTTTAGCAGATTTTGAAAGAATTATTATGTACCAGTATTATGAACTACAAAAAAAGGCATTACACATGAACTACGAGGTTTAAGTTTGGGTTTTTCATAAGTCATTATTTCTGCATAATAAATTAAAGATTTTATTCCTGATTTGTTTTAGACATCTTTTGTGATTCAAACAATATTTTAATATTATGTATTAATTTATAATTATTAAAATAATTTTAGTAGGCTGACCTGTACTAACCCTATTTGCTCAATTTTACAGAACCTAGCAACTTTTTTTCTTATTAAATGGCAATAGTTCCCACAGTGTTGTTTCAAATAATTTTAATGTCTGTAGTTGCTTGCCCGCTACTGCCAGCTACATTGCTCTATCCTATTTCAATTTGAGCTATAGCCACAAGGCTTTTTCAGTACTCTCAATAATTTATACAATACTAATAATTTATTATCCCTGGGTTAATACTGTGCGAAGGGATTGAGAGGAAATTGTTTATTTAACCATAAATCTGAAAGAACTTTTAGCACATAAGGTCACAGGAAACCCAAAGACACTTACTATGCTTAGGTACCCACAGGTCACCTGAGGTGCTCATAGGACTTTGTATGGATAGATTTAAAATTCGATTGAAAACTGGAAACAATCTCCGTTTCCTTTTGAGAAGCTGCAATAGCAATTTTAAACTATCCTTTTTCCATTGTTATTGAGCTACAGCATGCAGATTTCTGGAGATAGTTCTCTGTCAAGGTGGGGGTACATCCAAAAATTCTGTAAAAGATCAAATTTTTGTTTTTACCGAAATTTGAATCTTAACGCATAATTTAAAGTTTTATTTTGAGAAACATTTCTGTTACTAGAAGTTCAAAGCTCGTTTTCTCAAAACAAGTTATTTTTGCCTTTGAGAAAAGACATTTTTAGAAGGATTTGTCCAATTGAGCTGAAAATTTCAGGGTTTGCTGTTCTGAGTAAGCTTTGTGTTTTAAACATAGTCCTTTTCCATCCAGTGCATTTTGTTGAAGTTATGCATTGAAACGTATGCTGGATTTTCTGTATCAGATTTGACTGGTCACCATTTCATGTGTTTTTAACTTTTCAAAAATCGCTATGCTAAAACACTAAGCTATTTGTCTTTTAAAAAAATGCGAAAATTATTCATTCGGAGGAGTCATCTTTTCTCAAGTAAGTCCTGGCATTCCCCAGCAGGTGACAGATTTAATCAACCGGTGTCAGGTTACAATACAGTTTTAAAGTACAAAAAATCTTCATAATCTTTGTTCTTTCCAGGTTAAGCTGTCTAAAAATGTATACTTTGCCATGGGTTGGAATTAAATCTAAACCATGAAAAAAGTTTGAAAAAATGGTGTGTTTTTAGTTTAAACCCCGCCTTGAAATATTTATGCATTGATCAGATAGAGACATCAATATCCCCTCCCCGAGAACTCCCCGGACCTACCCCGGGCATTTGACAATTTCTTGTGCTCCGGGAGGCGGGAATTTGACGTCAGTGGTTGTTATCTGGGACTCGGGGGGCAATTGGAATCATAAGGGAGGGGTAAAGGGAAATTTGCCGAGGAGCCACGGTCAAGGTAGCAGTCATCAAGAGAGAACAACGTTCTTTGCAATGTTTTGGACATAGAAATAAAGCTGCGTTTTCAAATTTATCAGGTGTGGTGTAAACGGGGCCTGATTCGCTTAGGCTATAAATATATAATGAGGCTAATTATGCTAACCATTGTTAACACAGATTCCCCTATATATAGCTAGCCAGCTATAGTTCAACGCCAATTTTTCCTTTGTAGTCATTGGCTAAAACCATG